GACTGACCCTCTGTGATCAACTGTGGATGCGGACCTTGTGTCTCCTAGAGGCTTCACCGGCTGATTTCAGGTCGACTGCCAGGCATTTCTTCCTGCTTCAGCTTGGTCTGTAGGATCTGCTGAGACCTGTTCAGCCTTCACAGCAGCACACGAGCCCCTATGGACTGACAGGCAGTGGCTACAGTTTGTTTGTGCCATGTTTGTTACGTCTGGGCTTTTCATTTTCTGTGTATGAGTTTGCAGTTTAAAAAATGACGCCCGAGGACAATGCTGAAGGGCTGTTAACTGCTTTTTCCAACAAAACAGGAAGACTGTGCAGTACTTTATGGGAAAATGCAGGTGTTAAAGAAAAGAAGATAATATGTATGTTAGAAAGCTTATGAGAACATGAGTGATAGTGCTGATGGCCACGTGTGTTGTTCTGTGCTGTCGACTTGGAACCAACGCAAAGCTGAACCTCCATCCGTTTTTCAGAGGCTGTAAATCACAGAGATTACTCATTAATCTCCTCTGGAGGATCTGCCTGCAAGTTGGGAGCATAACTGCTTGTCTTGAGGCCATGAGAGCTCCCTGCTGACTAGGAAGTTCAATGTTATTAGGTTAATAGGGTTTATTAAATATCTTTCAACAGAAACACATGAGAACAAGATTACTTATTGATTGGTTAATGAAATCATGATGACCTAACCCTATATGCATTCTGCTATACATAAGGTGCGCCTGATGCGAGCCATGCTCTTGGCAATTACTTGCAAGGCATCAGAGAGCCAGACAATGACTCAGGGTGATAGAGTAATAATAGATGCCTTTGAATTTTGGGGCTGGAGAAGAGTGATGAACATACCATGCACTGCTAAGGGAACAAAGAGGTCTGTCCGGGAGAGGGTGAAACCAAGCTGCTCCTTAGAGGCAAGGATTTTTGAAGCTGTGTCGTGCACTTACTTTGGACGAGTGGCCAGGTGGCACCAGTTCTTAGAGAAGGACATCATCCTTGGGGAAAGGTGAAGGGACAGCATGAGAGAGGGAGACCCTGGATGAGACGGACTGATTGAGTGACTGAGGTAATGGGGGTAGGTGTGTCAGAGATAATGAAATTGGCTCAAAATAGAGTTCAGAAGGCGCGCAGTTCGAATCCACCAGATGCTCTGCTGGATAAGGAGGGGCAATCTCCTCCTGTGCCAGTCGGATCCAGATTGACAGTACACAATAAGAAAGAAAATAAAAGAGGGGAAAAAAGAGTTCAGAGCTGTTATCCATAAGGTCATTAGGAGTCGTAAGCGACTCAACAGCGCATCATAGCAACAACTCTATGCTTCCCCAGAGTTATCTTTTAAAAGTCATTAATTTGACATTCCTGGTATCTTTCTTAAACTAAAATACCACAAACGCTGAGACCCAACTCTACTGTCTTTCAGTTCTCCAAGTCTAGTTAAAGTATTATAGTAGTATCTTTTAAATTTCATATGCTGGTAGACAGTTTATGTTAAAATATTTCCTGTTGTTGTTTTTGTTGTGTATCATCAATGCATAGCTGATCTTCCAGTAACTTTTCAGAGGCAGGAAATCAAAGGGGAGGAGATTATCTTCTCCCTCAAAGCAGCTGGTGGATTTGAACTATGTACCTTTGGGTTAGCACCACAACTCCTTACCACTATGCAGAGTATAAAGGTTTGTTGTTACGTGCCGTGAAGTCCCCTGCGACTCATGGAGACCTTATGTACAATAGCTCTGAATCCCGCTCTATCCTGAGCCAACCTCACCATCTCCGACACACCTACCCCCATTACTCTAGTCACTGAGTCGATCCATCTCATTGAGGGTCTTCCCCTCCTGTGACGTTCCTCCTCTCTCAAGCATGACGTCCCTCTCCAAGGACTGGTCACTTCTTGCAACATGTCCAAAGAATGTCAGATGGAGTTTCAGAATCTTTACCTCCAGAGAGCAGCCTGGTTTTATCCTCTCCAGGACGAACCTGTTTGTCCTCTTAACACTCCATGGTATATTCAATACACTTTTCCAGCACCACAGCTCAAAGGCATTAATTTTTCTTCTATTATCCCGTCACTGTTCAGCTTCTGATGCATAGTATGTAATTGTGAAAATCATGGCCTGGAACAGGCACCCTTTAGTCTCAAGACTGACACTGTTGCTCTTCAGTACTCTCAAGAGGTCCCTGACAGCAGGCTTTACCAATGCAAATTCATCTTTTAATTTCCTGGCTGCTGGTACCAAGAGTGTTGATTGTGGGGCCAAGCAAACTAAGGCTGTTAACAATCTCAATCTCTTCACCATCCATCACGATACTGCTAAAGGTAGTACTACAAAATCTTTGCTTGAAAGGTGCAACGGGATTTAAAGGCTGAGAGCCACTGGGCTTTAAAACCCAAGGGAGGCAGCTCAGCTGTGGCTTTTGTGTTGCTCTGAGTGAGAAGCTAGAAGGGCTGAGGCCTGAGGCCCATGGTCAGGCTTCGTCCTCTTAGGCCTCGTCCAGCAGAGTCCTTCCTCTGGCCTTTGAGGCAACAGGTCCAGTTCTAGCTCTAGGACACTGTGGTGAGTCCTTGTGCGGGGCCCCAAGCCCCCCACCCCCAGTTGACAGAAGAGAAGCAGTACCCCTCGAGCCTGAGGTAAGAAGGCAGCAGCCGCCTTGGGTGGGCAGCCCCCTGCTGGCTCTCCCAGACAGGACCGAAGCACACAGCCTCATGCTGCACCCAGCTGAACAAACACCATGCAAATGACTGATGGCTGCCTGGGTTTTACTCAGGGCAACGGTCAAGTTTATCAGGTGCCACGCAGCTCCCTGCATTCTCAGAAAACCCTCTGAGGGCAGCTAAGAAGAGAACGGGGCCTGGAGACTTCACAGAGCTTACTGCAGACAGGCAGTCGCCACAGCCCCCACACTGGTCTCCTCACTTCCGCTCCTGTCTCTGCATCTACCCTTCCTAGGGCAGCCCAAGTGGCCCTCGGCAAAACACAGCCCAGCCACACACTGCCTTCTCACGCTCCAGAGAACCCCCCGCAAGCATTTCTCTTTCTTTACCTCCATCCATTCTCTTACTCAGAATTCAACTACACCTTGCAATGTGGGTGCTTCAACCCTACCAGAGGAGTCTCAGGAACATAGGTGATGGTGACTTGCTTCTGAAAGGTCACAGCCCTTGAGACTCCTACGAAGTGTGGATGCATCTGACACAGAGAGAGGGTCACCCCGAGTCAGGGTCAATTCGACAGCAACTAACAAGACTCTCGCCGTGGCTCACTCCAATCAAGCCACGTCGGCCCCGTTCGTGCTGCAGGAGTTCTCCAAATGCTTCCTCCTGCATTCACGGTTCCCCTCGTCTTCCCGCGGCTGTGTTAATGGTTCATTTCAGATCTGCTCACATGTTGTTTTCCCAGAGTGGCCCTCCCTGGGCACAAAAAGCTCCTTCAATCGCCCTCTCCTCATCTCTTCATTTTAATGCCACCACAGCACTTCTCACTCCCCGAACTTTCTCGTGGTGGTGTGTGTTCAACGCTCCAGTGGCCCATCTCCTATCCAGTGCAACAGAACAAAGAGGCTGGCAGTTTGGTTCCAATCTCTCTGTTCCTCCTCTGAGGTCCAGGCAGCGCCTGGCACCTAGGAAGCAGCCAGCTGCCTGGTGACCTCCAGAGAGCTGGAAGGTGTGTATCGTGTGGGAAGAGGACAGAGCCCATGCCAGCAGCCGGGCTTGGGTAATAATGGATGGTGAAATCCAAGATGAAATCGCCCCCACTTACGCATCTGTCACAGGCTGGGCTGCAGGGCAGCAGGAACCTGCCCCACCTGCCAAGGACTTCTAAGTGGTTCATATCCACACAAGCCCCTCACCATTCTCAGCACAGAGGCCCGGCTCTAGCTGCCTTCCACAAGACATTCTCCTCCTAACACAGCCATGCCCAGCGGTCACCAAGCCCTCAAGCCAACAGGATGGTGTCCCAAATCCCCACCCACGGCCTTGGCTTCACATCCCCGGTGGGGTGATCAGTGTGCAGCTCAAACCACACCGCAGTGAGGCAAAGGTTAAGCCCTGCTGATTTGCTCACATAAAGATGTCAGCCAAGAAAACCCTACGGAGCAGCTATATTCTGGGGTACATTCAGGGTTACCTCGGAAGCCACTCTGGCAGCAACCAGTTTTGGTGTTTCCTTTTTTGCCTGGCTGGACTTTTACTATGTCCTCTGAGTGTTCCTACAATGGAGTCCTGAGGAATCAGACCTCTGTCTGGGGTTTTGCTTCTGGCAAATCCAATTAATCAAAGGTACAGGGCAGGGCCTATCAGCACCCAGCTCCAGGACTAACAGGCCTGCCCTGTGGCAAGTGGTAAATACAAATAAGCTTTTCCACCATGACCACGTCCAAGGTCACGCCTCATCTCACATCCAAGCGTCCCTGGAACCAGGACACATCTCGAGTCAGTAACACATTCTTGTTTACCTGACGGCATTGAGCTTTCTTACTGGCAAATAAAATAAGGATACTGTGTGAAAGATATAGCATCTTAGAGGCAACTCCCTGTGATCTGTGCAGGGAAGGCCTTGACTGACTCCCCTTAGAAGATGTGGATGCAGCCAGCACAGTCGAAACTAGTCTGTGACTAAGAACCTTTTGAAGTGAAGAGCTGGGCATTTGACGTCCATCCTGCTCTCTTACCTTGAGACTGCAGAAACACACAGGGTGCCCGATGCTCACAGAGAAAGAGGGGCAGAGGCAATGAGGCTGACCAGAGTGAGCGTTGTGGCAAACAGAAACCAGCACCGCTCAACTGCTCAATGGGGGTGGCTTCTCTCTTTTCTGCCCAAATCACCCTAAGTGTAGGGAACAATCAACCCCATTTTACAGATGAGGAAACTGACTTGGAGAAGTGCAGTGACCTTTCAAGATGACAAAGCCACTAGGGTGTGACCATGCCCCTCGGTACTGACCACCACTCAGGGGAGAGGAGCACCCAGGCTCCTCAGAGGCGGACGAACAGATGGACACTCACTTTCTCGACTTGGCACACTCCTTCTTCCAGTTCTTCACCAAAACAGGCACCACCTGTTCAGATGTGTCCTCCCTGTTTAGAGACCAGAGGTCCGAGCTCTCAAGCGGGTGGCGGTAGCCCTGGACCATCATCCTGCAGCCGAGGCACAAGGGGAGGAAGGGAGGAAGAGAGTGAGTATGGGCGGAAGAGGAGGATGGCATATCCAACCCGCCGGCCGTCATCCGAGGCTCCTGTGAACCATATGAATGGACTTTCCATTCCAAACAAACCACTGTCATCTAATTGCTTCCAACTAGCAACCCCAGGGAGCTCTGTGGGCTTGGGGATAAGGAACTGTGCTGTCAATCCAAAGGTACGCAGTTTGAACCCACGAGCTGTTTGCAGGAAAAAAAGATGGGGAAGCTCCTCCCATGCGATTTACAGCCTCTGAAAACCCGCTGGAGGGTCAGCTGTGAGTCGGTTCTGACTCAATGGCACTTAACAACAGCATCAGCAATGCTACAGGACAGAGCAGAATTGTCCACAGGGATCCCAAGGCTGTCATCTCTATTGATCCAGACTGTCACATCTTTCTCCATGGAGTTCATTGTGGGTGGATTTGAACTGGCAACCTTGCAGTCAGCATTCCAGCTCTTAAACACTGCTCCACCGGAGCTCCCTGGGTGGACATTCTCTGTCTCTCATGACCGTTGAGTTGAAGTTGACAGAGTGACCCTGTAGGACAGAGTAGAGCTGCCCCATTAGGTCTCCAGCACTTTTCAGAGGAGCTCAGGTGGTGCAGCAGTTAAGTGCTTGGCTGCTAACTGAAAGACCTGTACTTCGAACTCACCGGCCACTGTGCCTGAGAAAGAAGTGGCCAGCTGCTTCCATGAAGCCCTTGGGAACCCCGTGAGGCAGTTCTGATCTGCCATGCAGGACTGTGAGGTGTCAGGCCCAGTCTGAGTCCTGATTTCTAAATCAATGGGCTGAACGAAGCAATCTTCACAGAAGCACATATTTCTCCCTTGGAGCAGCTGGGGGATTCAAACTACCACCTTTTGGCTAGCAGTCACCAGGATCCTTCTAAGAGAAAAAAGAAGGATTCCAATAATATCCAGCAAGATTCTTACAGTGGAGAGGAAAAGGATGTTGAAGAAGAAGAAAAAAAAGAAAAGGAGAAGGAAGTGTGTCACAATGTTGACAGCGTTTGCCCTGGGGTTTGAGCTGATGCTGATCTATGCGAGTTTTCCTTGTCCGTGTTCCCTGTGTGTGCATGTGGGATTTTTTCCAAACTAGGGAGTGGGATGGGTGTGTGTGTGTGTGTGTGTGTGTGTGTGTGTGTGTGTAACAATGCTAACAGTAAAATATTCCCTCTCATACCAAAAATTGTGCTGGCAATCCAGAGGCATGAAGCCAACCGTTGCTTTGTGGGAGAAAGATGGGCACTCTCCTCTCATGTGATTTACTGCCTCTGAAAACCCGCTGAAGGGTCCGCTGTGAGGCGGTTCCAACTGGAGCGTACACCACCACCACCACATCCAAAAAAAATTACCAACCCAGGTCAAGCTGTCAAGAGAGCTCTCAAGGAGCTCTGGTGGCCTAGTGGCAAGAAGCTGTGCTGCAACCCTAGAGAGCTCTCAAAGCCTTTATGCTCCCGCTGCAGGGGACAGCGTCAGTGACTTGAAGCTCAGCACAAAAGGGTGACAGAGGGAGATGGTGGGGAGCTGAGGGGGGCCTTACCCTGTGATCCACCAGAAGGTGATCCTCGAAAGGAAGGAGGCGCCAGCTTCCGGACAAGGATTCTGGAGGAGAGAAAGCAGGAAGAGAGAAATGAAGGATTCAACTTCCCATTTTAGCCGAAGCTCTTTAGGGACAACGAGCAGTGCCTTCCTAAGAAGTGAACAATGTGCCTGGCTCTGTTCTGAGCCCTTTCTGGGGGTTTACTCCTCAAAGCTGCTCCAGCAGGACCAGATGCCAGGGAGTCAGTTCCAGCTCACAGTGTCAGAACAGAACTCCTCTCGACAGAGAGCTTTCAATGGCTCCTTTTCCAGAAGTAGGTTGCCAAGCCTCTCCTCTGGGGCACCTCTGGGTTGACGGGTTAGCATGTAAGCACACTCCCCATTTCTATCACCAAGGATCACTCGCCCAGAATCACCTTAACAACCAACCAACAGCCTAGGAGTTGATTCCAACTCAGAGTAACCGTTCATCAGTGGCTGAGGCTGCAAATCTTTCTCCTGTGGAGCAGTTTCGAACCACTGATCCATCTGTTTGGAGCACAACGTGTAATGGCCTATGCCATCATCTCCCTTTTGCAGTTAAAAGCAACTGAGGAACTCAAGTGAAATGACTTGGCCAAGGTCTGAAAGCTAGAATGGGAGCCAAGAGAGCTGAGAAGAGGGCCCTTAACACACTGCAGAGACGGCCAACAGTCAAATGACCATGCAAACAAAGGCCAAATGGCAACTGTGCTGTGTGTCTGGCAGGCAGGTAAATGTCACCAAGGGGACCACACAAGGGGGGCAGAGATGGCTGCCTAGGGGAGGATAATTGGAGAAGGGGGGGTGGCCTCAAAGCATTTCAGCAAAGAATACTGTGCACACAGGCCCTGTAGTGGAAGGAAGTGGGCCCGTTCCAGGAACACATGCCTTCTACACTGGAGGTCATGCATGCAATCTCAATCTTTATCTTAATAACAATGGGAGGTCAGGGACAGATTCCATTAAGAGTCAAAGATCCTCTTTTCCAGAGGCACCAAGATGAGGCCGGGTCAACAACAAGGAAGGGGACATTAGCAGGGGGATTCTGGGATAATAGCCAATGCAGATAAATCCAGATCTAAATTCATAAATGCATGGCTTTGTAATAATAATAAACATTTACATAATAAACTTTCTTAATAAGCCCCAAAATGTTGGAGGGAAAAAGTAAGTAAATATATTCTACCCAAGAAGCTTTCACCCACATAGGGTGTGTTTCAGAAAAGCACCATATCCCAGCCTCACCCCTCAAGCCTATTCTGATTACACCGGTTTGGCATGTGACCAGGACACAGGCTTTTGTCGTTGTTACTGTTTTCATTTCCTCCCCGATGCTCCTTAGCACAAGGGCTGGGAGAGGAAATGTACCCGATGAGCCTCCAACAGCGGACAGAAGACGAAGAAGGCCAACAACTGAGCCCAAAAAAACACGGAACAATCTGTGCTTTCATCAGGCAACGTGCATGCAGTGGACCGCAACACGTCTGACCTAAGGGTGCCTGGATTCGAAAGACAAAATGCAGAGTCCTGGACACCAAATGATGGACCAGCTCAATATTCTGAAAACAGTCAAGGGGAGGCGGGGACCAAGCATTTCCTCCTCGCCATCCTCGATTAAGGGATTAAGGCATGACTGCATGACTGGTCAAGGGGCGGTGTCCTTCCACAGGGGCGTTTACAGCCTCCAAATCCAGAGAGAACACTCAGTACTTTGCAAACACAATGACCTGCTGGGAGCAGTGAGCCATTCGATGTCACTGAAAATTTACTGGTTTTAGGCAATTTGTGCTGTGGTGGTGGTGTTTTTTTAAATAATTCTTATCTTTCGGATATGATCACTGGTAAAAACAAGGAGAAAGGGATACAAGAACTTCACCGTCTTCTCTTTCTGAGTTGGTGTGAGTTAAATTATCTCAAAACAAAAGGTGTATAAAAAAAGGTGTATAAACAATGGTGGTGGTGGTGGTGGTGATAGTTGTTAGGTGCCATCAAGTCAAGTACAACACATAGCAACCCTACAAACAAAAGATCTGAACCCTGTTCACACAGGATCAAAAGGATAAACGTGCACTCCCCAAAAAATCCCCATCATTCAGAGATGAATGCAGGGTTCCATATGCCCCTTGGAGTAAAGGAAGCACAGTAGTGCATTGTACTGGATGCTGTCTACTTTTGTACATGTTTGAAAGTTTCCAATAGAAAAGATTAAATGAAAGCCTTCACCCCCACCCCCAGTGGCTCAGACACACAGCCAGGGACACCAGGGTGCAGGCTCCATTCATTACTCCCCAGTGATTAGGGGCAATGAGGGGTGAGCAGGTGGCCAGACCAGGCTGATCTCCTAGGATACTTGTTCAAACAGGTGCTGAGGTCCAAGTAAATCCAACCCTGGAATCAATATCTATTTCCACCATCTCCAGGCAATCAGATGCAGCTGGTACACAAACCTACAATTCCAGAGCCACCTAGAGCAGACAGAACTTGGACTGTGGAGTAAGATGGGTATAGGTTCAAACCCCAGCTCTACCATTTTTTAGCCAAATGACCCAGGGCAAGCCACTTCACTTCAAAGCCCTGGTTTTGTCATTCAGGAAAAAAAAATCATCCTCCTACTTCCCTTGGCTGCCAGAAAGGAGAGAAATCTATGGGGCTGGAAATTTTCCAATCCAAAGCAGGGAGTGATTGCATCAGGGCAAGGGTGATGGTATTTGTTCTACAGGCTGGGTGGGAAGCATTGAGACGCAGCCCAGCCCATGGCGAGGAAGCCTCCCCACCTTCCTGTCCCACTGTCCTGCCCACACTCTTGTGGCCAGTGGGTGGGTTATCGGTGAATCACCCACCAAAGGACAAATCTGCTTTTGGACAGTGAAAAATTAAGGTGGTAACAAAGAAGAAAGGTGGGAGAAAGGGGAAGAGGCAGCAATGTATTATCTATTTCTTCAGCAAATGTTTACAGAGAGGGTCTGGTCACTTAAGTGCTGGGGACAATGCTGGGCAAGAGAGGGTGTCTCCTCCCCATGCAACTTCCCACGTGGGAACAGGGAAAGGGTATTATCTGTTGTTGTTATGTGCTGTCGAGTTGCCTGCAACTCATAGTGACCCTATATACAACAGCCCTAAACCCCGCTATCCCTTGCCAATCTCACCGTCTCTCTAACACACCTACCCGCATTACCCCAGTCACTGAATCAATCCTTCTCATTGAGAGTCTTACTCTCTTTTGCTGTCCCTCCACCCTCCCAAGCATGACATCCCTCTCCAAGGACTGATGCCACCTTGCAACATGTCCAGAGTATGTCAAAGCTTCAGAATCCTTGCCTCCAAGGAGCAGCCTAGCTTCACCCTCTCCAGGAGGAACTTGTTTGTTCTCTTAGCGGTCCATGGTACATTCAATACTCTTCTCCAACATACAGCTCAAAGGCATCAATTCTCCTACTATCATTCCTAGTCATTATCTAGCTATCTGACGCATAGCAAATAACTGCAAAGACCACGGCCTGTATCAGGCACACCGTAGTCTCCAGAATGACATTGTTGCTCTTCAGTACTTTGGAGAGGTCTCTGATAGCACACTTTCCCAATGCAATTTGTCTTTTAAAGCAAATTGTGAGAATAAAGCAGCACAGGTTATAGGATTCAGTCTGCTGTTCACAGGGTTGCTGAGTTATGACTGACCAGACAGTACTTAACAATAACAACAACATAAGCTAAGCAAGATGTAGACTATCTTCACATACTCTCCTACAAAACAGCAAACAAGGGGCTAAAGGTAGGGAGGGGGAGAATCACTGGGTCGCAGAGTTTGGTGGGAGGAAGGAGGACATAGCAGAATTAGGCTAGATCTAGTGGGGACCTGAAACAAAGGGTGATAGTGGGCACAGATTAATGGTGGTTAATTTTCTAAAACACAGTGTATGAGAATGAGTGTATGAAACAAGGCAAATGAAGGAAGGAATGTGTGAAACACAATGTACATGGATGAAACACAGTATATAGGCATTTGGCATGCAATCCAATAGAAACTAAAAGGGAGGAGAAGCAAACAAAAACACAGCTGGGGGAGGAAGGAAATTGTGCAACAATCACAGAATCTTTTTAAAGAGAAAACGAAGTGGGAGGGAGGGTGGAAAATGTGCTACAGTGAAGAAATGGAAAGCCAAGTTTTCTATAAACTTTCGTTAAAACACCAATTTAAAAAAAACCACCATAAAACACACAGTTGTCAGGGAGAAAAGAATGGGGTAGATTTTCATAAGGAAAGGAAGATGAGGCAATACCAAGATAGACCAGATGGATTAAGCTCAGAAAGCTAGAGGTAACTTTAGGGCAGTCACAAAGAAAAGTCATAAACTTTGTCATCAAACAAAAAAAAAAGAGAATCCTAGCAACCCAGTAAACACACAGACTCAACACCAATCAAGGGAATGAAGAAAAGTCCATAAACAAAAACAACCGCAGCAAAGAAAAGTTGACACAACAAAGAAATCAACAGGATCAAAAAAAGAAAAAAAAAAGGCACAGCAGAATGGTGGGGGTAAATACAAACCAATCAGTAATTACACTACCGATAAAGAGATTAAAGGCCTTAGTGAAGTGACCAAATGACAGCAGGGCCGAGAAAACATGACTCATGTATATGTGGCTTATGAGAAACATACCTTAGATGCAAAGATAAAGGTAAGTTAAAAATCAAATGGGAAAACATTATACACATACACACACGTGTGTATACACGAAGGAAAGGAAGGCCCTTGACCAGGTGGATTGGCACGGTGACTGCTGCAATGGGCTCTTGTGTGTCAGGAAGGCACAGGATAGAACAGGGTTCAGATCTGCTGTTTACAGGGTCACTATGAGTCATATTCGATTCAGTGACACCTAATAACAACAATATATACACTCATACACATCAAGCAAATGGCAATGGCATTATTAGTCTATGTTTAAAGAAACTTCAAGGCAAAAATTCCTATAACAGACAAAAAATGGCATTACATAATGACCAAAAGGTCAACCCTAAGAGACATAACTACACTTATTAC